AGTTCCTATGAATCAAGCAGTCTAAAAAAGTCAATGACCCCAGTGCAGGTTCTTCCAGTTGGGCTGTACAATAGAAATCCATTTTGTAGGAGCTTAGTCACAGATGAATTGGAGGTGAAGATGCAACAGTTGTGATCAGGCAATCGGTTAACTTTACAGGTGAAATACATGATATTTTCCAGAAATCATACTTTTGAGAGAGACTGATAAGAGGTAGGCATTAGCAATACTTGAAGGTGCTTACTCTTCTGATGCTACAAGCAAACTCCCAGGGGAATATTGTAGTGTAGTGGTCGTATCCCTACCCCTAGACTAGAAGGCCCAGCTTCAAGTCCCACTTACTACAGAGGCATATAATAACATACTGGATTTGACTGATTAGAAAAATAGGTTAAGTAATTTTGGGGCCCTTTTGTGATAGTGGTAGTATCCTACGCCTGAACCAGAGAGCCTGGTTCAAGTCCCACTTGCTCCAAATGTGTGTAACAACTTCTCTGAACAAGAAAAATATTTAAAAAACAAATTAAAAATATACAGTGGCACAATGGTAGTGTATCTACCCCTGGACCAGGAGGCCCAGGTTCAAGTCCTCCTGTTCCAGAGGTGTCCAATAACATCTCTGAACTGGAAGACTAGAAAAGCAGGTCAAATAAAAAAAAGGCAGGCAAACTCCCTAAAGTATTAAAAAAAACTGTATGACTAAAGGTAATTCAAACAATCCAGCTGTTTGGATCGTATGGCTGAGGTTTCCGGCTTAGCCATGTAGGTAATGAGGTCAAAGCTAAACAAGTTTCAGAAGAAGGGTCTAGGCCTGAAACATCAGCTTTCCTGCTCCTCTGATGCTGCATGGCCTGCTGTGTTCATCCAGCTCTTCACCTCGTTATCAAAGCGAAGCAAGAATGGTTTTCAATGATCTTTGTTCTGATTTGGGTGAGGTTGATGTCTTGTCTCTTTGTGTTGGCTTGCCTGGCGTGTCATTCCAGCAGGATGGTGTAAGCTTTTGTCCTCTGGTTACTGCTGATCACAGTTTTCCGGAAATTGTGGATTAGTGATCAATAGCATCTATGTTTTCAGTTCAGCAAAGTGACATTTTTTAAGAAAATAGAAACAAGAGAATATAGTTTTAAAAACGGGATCTTTCTGTATCTATCCTTTGGACGTTATAAATGCTAACCTTTATACCTCGAGGGCTGGAATATGAAGAAATGCAAGTTTTGCAACAGTTACAAAAAGCCCTGATTAGAGCACATCTAGAGTACTATGTATATCTGCTGACACCACAAACTTAAGTAATTTTTTTCAGCTTAGAGGTCTGTAGCACAGACTCACATGATATTATAGAGCTCCAAGATTTTGATTTTGAGGAAAGATTATGCAAACTAAAATCTTATTTGTTGAATGTAGAAGGTCAAGGAGCTAACTTAGAGGCCTTTAAGATATTGAATGAAATTGACAAGCTAGCCAGAGACGTTTTTTTTGCTGATTTTGTGGGTCTAGGCAGAGCCTAAAAATGGGGATTATAACAGAGCCCATAACTGGGGCACAATGCTTGCTGTGCTTGACTTGGGGGCAGGCTGCTGTTCTCCTGCCAAGGGTGCAGACACTGTACTTGGGACTGGAGTCAAGCTGTTGTGCTCAGATTGGGAACTGAGAGCTTGGGCCAGGAAAAACACTAAGGCCCATGATTTCTTTCCATGTCCCTTGATCCAGGACAAAGACAAAATCTTAGAAGCAGAAACCGGCCATTTAGAAGAATATAGCTCTTCACACAATGGGTGGCAGAAGTGCAGACTCTTTCTGACAAACAACACTAGTTCAATTAAAGATTTTAAGTCTAATTGCAATAGAGTTTTGCTAGCCAAGCCTATCAAAAGATACGTATATATGACATCTGAAGAGAGTTAAATATAGTTCACTCAAAATATCCTTGAATGGTAGAACAGACTTCAAAAAGCTGAATGGTCCAAGCCTATTCCTAGATAGCAGAAATGATTATAAATAAATGTATTTTGTGCTTAGTATATTAAGTGAAGCCGATCAATGATTTACTACCCTTCAGGTTCTATACATAAAATTTATGCCTTAAACTATAATTTTGAATTCCAACAATCATTTCTTCAAAGCAAATGCAACCAATATGATAAATAATGTAGAATAAATATTCTGCAGGCCAATGGCCTAAATTTGTCACTGGACCATTATAGTGTTTTTTTTTGACAGAACAGCATATTGAAATGAAACAAACAGAATTGAAATGCATTGGGCCCTTCATCTTATGTAATAGTACTTATTAGCTCACTGTAATAAGAACATAACAAACACAGGAGCTGGAGCATGCCATTTGTCCTGTCAGGTCTGTGCTGCCATCACAAAATCATACTTGATCTTGCCCAGGCCTCAACTCTTCTCTCTAGCAAGCTCCTCAGAGCCCTCAACTCATGTCAAGTCCACTTAGAATCTTGTATGTTTCAACTCGACCACCCCTCATTTTTCTAAACTATGATGAAGAAAGGCCTAATCTATTTAGCTGTACTTGATAAATCAATCAGTTCATCCAGGATTAGCTAAGAGAATCTCCTTTGAACTGCCTCCAATGCCAATATATTCTTTCTTAAATACAGAGGCCAAAACTGTATGCAGTATTGCAGGTGTCTCCTCACCATACCCTATAGAGCTATAACAAGACTCCCATACTTTTAAACTCTAAACCTTAGCAATGAAGGCCTGTTTTCCATTTATCATCTCAGTTACTTGCCACAGCTGCAAACTAACTTTTTTGCTTTTCCTAGAAACAAAGAAACTAGGAGCAGGAGTAGGCCATTCAGCCATTTCAGCCTGCTTGAGCGTTCAATAGGATCTTGGCTGATCCTTTATCTCAATGCCATATCCCTGCTTTGTCCTTATACCTCATAGCAAAGGAAGGCAATGGCCTAGTGGTATTATTGCTGGACTGTGAATCCAGAGACCAAAGAGCATTCTGGGGATCCGGGTTCAAGTCCTGTCATGGTAGATAGTGGAACTTGAATTCAATAGATATCTGGAATAAAGAATCTAATGATGATCGTGAACCCATTGTCAATTGTTGGGAAAATCCCATCTGGTTCACTAATGTCCTTTATGGAAGGAAACTGCCATCCTTACCTGGTCTGGCCTACATGTGACTCCAGACTCTCAGCAATTGGTTGACTCTTAACTGCCCTCTGGGCAATTAGGGATGGGCAATGAATGCTGCCTAGCTAGTGGCACCCTCATCCCGCGAATGAATAAACAAAAAAAATTTCTGATTGCCAATAAAATCTAGAAGTTTATCTATCTCTTACTTGAATATATTCAGTGACTTGGCATCCACAGCTTTCTATGGTAGAGGATTCCAGAGGTTCGCTACCTTTGGGGAGAAGAAATTTTACCCCATCTCAGTCTTAAATGGTCCAACCCATATCCTGAGAAGGCATTTCCTGCTTCTAGGCTCCAAAACCAGGGACACATTCTCTTGCATCTCATCTGCCCAGCCCTTTTAGAATTTTGTATGCTTAAATCAAATTCCCTTTCATTCTTCTAAACTCAAATGAATGCACAATTACACCCATTTCATTCTGTGTTAACATTTTTAAACTCTCTGTTCGTTTAAATAATAGTCTGCCTTTTGATTCTTTGTAGCTAAGAGCATGACCTTACACTTTCCAACATTAAACTCCATCTGTCAGGTTTTTACCCAATCCCTCAACCTATCGTTATACCCTTGCAGATTCTCTATGTCCTTATCACAGCATGTCCTCCCACCTATTTTTGTATCACCAACAAATTAGGATACATTATACACTGCCTCCTCCTCCTCCTCCTCCTCCAGGTCATTTTTGTAGTAGTAAATAATTGAGGTCCTGGTTTGTGACCCTTGAGCAAGGAGGTGATGCTGGAACTGTATAAAACACTATTTGGGCTGCAGGCAGAGTATTATGTACAGTTCTGGTATCCACATTATAGGATAGATGTGATTGTACTGGAGAGGGCGCAGAGGAGATTTACTAAGATGTTGCCTGGACTGGAGAGTTTTAGTTACGAAGAGAGATTGGATAGGCTGGGATTGTTTTCCTTGAAGCAGAGGAGACTGAGAGGGGACACGATTGAGATGTTCAAAATTATGAGGAACATAGACAGGGTAGATGGGAACGAACATTTCCCCTTGGTGGAGCAATAGAGGGGCATAACTATAAACTAATGTGTAGGAAATTTAGAAGGGATGTGAGGAAAATGTTTTCATCCAGAGGGAATTTGAAACTCACTGCCTGTGAAGATATTTGAGGCAGAAACCCACATAACATTTAAGAAGTAGTTAGATATACTCCTGCAATGCCAAGGTATATGAGACTATGGGCCAAGTGCTGGAACATGGGATTATAATTGCTAGGTTATTGGCTTTGACTGGTGCAGACTGGATGCAAGTACTGTTAGTGATGGTGCGTGATCAGGGGACGTGTGAACAGGGATCCCCAGTTAGTGAGTAGGAGGGCAGAAAGGATTAGTAGTTTAGGAGGATGAGTTGGCTGAGAGCCATTGAGTTGAAATGTTCTATATAATGGTGAGAGTTGTATGCCATTACCCTTTGTGATGTTACTGTGTAATGGCAGAGTTAGAGTGAATGTGAAACAGCAGAGAGAAGAAGATGGCACTAAACGTGGGAGAGTGGAGAAGATCATTGGTATCCTTATTAACATTCCCTCAAACTGCATAGCTAAGGGCCAGCACACACTGATCAGCATGTTCATGCCATTCCCAGCGTTGACTTCTGATTTTGGAAGTCATTTCCTTGCACAGACCTAGGAGGCTTGCACAGAGGAAAACAAAATGAAAGTAAACATAGCTTGTTCCTGCACTGCTAGGTGCTATGTTTGGCCTGGGAAATGGCACTCACCTGGTCCACAGTCTGAGTCTAGGCTGAGGTTGGTCGTGCAGTCTCCTTTTTGGGCCACAGGGAAGATGATATCTGTCCTGTCCAGCCATACCTCCAGGCCCCTGTGAAATGGAGTAGAGTGCCTGCTGCCCTTTCCAGGACTTGCCCAGTATGATAACAATGAAGCAACACAGTGTGATAGTCAGTCCCTGCTTGCAGCATTTGAAGTGGTGCACCAAGTGGCGTGAACAGTGCAAGGTTCCCAACAGCAGTGACCATTTCCATCTCTGCTGCTGCACGATTGCACAAAACAGGTGCTGTAGAGTCTGGATGCACAAATAGTGAGGGGAGCAGTAGAAGACTGTGTGTGGAATGTTGCTGTGAGCCACAGCAATATCAAACCACATGACTCCCGAAAATAATACAGTCTAAAAATGGAAAAGCTCAGCCCATCTTGCCTTTTACTGTTTTAACTAGTCCATTATGCAAATCCCTGAAGACTGATTAATAAATAGGCCATTATCATTAACATGACATTCCTCACCATAATTAGTAGAATTCATTCTTAAAATTAGTGTTTTCCAATGTTTTTTAATGGCTTGACCTCTGCTTCCATTAGTAAAACAGAAGATTAATGTTAGGTGCATGGGTGAAGTGCAATAATAATTTAAGATTACTTATCATCAATTAAAGTAAGTCTGAAACCTTTCATATCAAATACTTCCTCTTTAACCACGTAGCTTAATTTTAATGTTGTGTGCCATTCTTATATTGCTAATTTATGTCTTGACCTTCTGCCATATGTGACTGAATAGGCTCACTGGCAACATTTAACACAAGCAGGAAAAATACACAGCATACATGCCAAGTCTATACTTACTCATCAGGGATATCACAGAAACTTAAAGATCAGGAGTGCGTTTGGCCTACACAACTTTCTGAAAGTATTATAAATAGATTCATTCCTGTGATGTTGACTGCCATTTATTGCCCAAGTTGGATGTGGTGAGCATTCCTCTTATACAACTGGATGGCATGCCAGACCATTCAATGAGGAGTCAGCTGCCTTAGTGTGGGGCTTCGAGTCTCAATAAAACAGAATGGGTAAGGGTGACAAGTCTGCTGCTCCAAAGTAAGTGGGGATTGTTTCATGGCAATTCAACAGCTTCATGGTCATTATTTTTTCAGACATAAAAAAATGTAATTCAAACTCTCAACATGTTATTCTGTATATATGGACATTCCTCTGGTCTCCCATTGCAGTTATGAGGTGAACCATCATGACATTTCAGAGCCAATTGAAGAATCCATACCTTCAACAACGTTTTCAAATAAATATGCCAGCTGCCAGAAAGTAAGAGCATTTTAAAATGGTAATATTATTGCAGGTATGGTCTGTTCTACTTTATTTTTGTGTTCATAATTGTTATTTTGTGCCCTTTAGGCTGAATGTGAAAGTTTGCCACTGTGGTGTAGTGGCACAGTTGCATAATGTTGGCAGACTTGCATACTTTGCATTGCACCAACATGATTTTTTTTGTTCATTCACAGGATGTGGGCACCTCTGACCAAACAGCATTTACTGCCCATCCCTAATTGCCAAGAGGGCAGTTAGGAATCAACCACAAATCTGTAGATCTGCAGTCACACAGAGGTCAAACCGGGTAAAGATGACAGTTTCCTTCCTTAAAGGGCATCAGTGAACTAAATGGGTGTTTTCCAATAATTGACAATGGTTTCATGGTCATTATTAGACTGTTAAATCCAGATTTTTACTGAATTCAAATTCCACCACCTGCAGGATTCAAACCTGTGTCCTCAGAACATTACCTGTGTCTCTGGATTAATAGTATAGTGATAATACCATATCTGGAAGCAGTAGAACATGAAAAGATTCATAAAAACATCAAGGAAAGGATAAAAAGAAAACTACGATAAACATGACGCTATACGAAAACAGGTCATCAACAGGAACAGTACCTTTTTAAACTACAGATATCAATGAAGGAACATAGAATGTCATAGGACAGAAAACAGGAAAAGGTTAATTGATCCATCACATGTGCACTGATCCTTTTCTCATATGTTTAATCAAATGTTCTCCAAAATCTTTTAATTATTCTACTTAAAATATCGCTCTTATTTTTTTTAAAGAAGTTTAGCAATCAATTTCAAACAATGCCTTTTGGCAGAGGATTAAACTTCCTAATCATCCTGCGTAAAGAAACTTCAGCCAACTTTCTGTTTAGTTGGTTGTGTACACATTTATTAGTTTAAATTTGTTACGCTGAAATCAGAGGACAGAATTTCAACTACTTGGGGACGGGTGGGGGCTGGTGGTCTGAGTTTATGTTGAGGTGTGGACATGTGTGAGATAAGGTGGGTGTGTGGGTATGAGGGTGTGTGAACAGTGGCATCAAGTTGGAAATCTGACATATTCTACTTCCGATTCCAGGTTTAACATGATTGTATTTGCAAGTGAGCAGGAAATCCAACTGGAGGGGTTGGATAAATAATTAAAATATTCAAATTCCTGCCAGCATGTGGATTTCCCAGGCTGTGTAGAGCTCGCCAAGAGTCAACCAGGCAAATGCATAGCAAGAGTGCTTCTTTAGTACTTTACTGAAGGCTAGGAAACCTTTGAAGAGTGAAGTTGAAAGCCTGCAGTACAGTCTGGGTGAGATGCTGGTGCTTATAGCACTTCTTATGTTTTTACTGCTTGACAAGCAATTTGCAGCCGCTTGGAAGTTACTTCATTTGTCTTGGATTCCACTCATCTTGATCCACACCTTCCTGCTATTGGCTTTCACAGTAGCATGGAAGCAGACTATACAGCTCCTCCTTGGAACTCCTGATAAGGAAACAGAGTAGAAGATCTAGGGGAGCGGATGACCACATGGATCCAGCCCAATGGGGGCAAGAACCAAACACAGGGTCGAAAGGTAGAAGATCAACTCTCTTGAGATCTTTGATAAGCAGTGCCTCAGGTAGGTCAGGCTTGTATGGCAGGTTACTGCTAACGTCGATAGCTTCCCAGAAGTTTCTAGGTAGGCACTTATTGCCAGTTGGCATCAATGTGATTGTCACTGGAGGAAGCCCTCCCATTCACCCTTTCCAGGTCTCTTTTCATTATTTCTGTGGCTTTTGAAGCCTTAGGAATCAATGACAGTTCAGCTATGCTTACCCCTAATTGAGTTCCTTTTATTAGAAATCCTTCTTTTGACAGATTCAGTATGCCATCACGCCTACACTTCCTGAACATTCAGGAACTTGAAAACAAGCTGCTGTTGGGATGTCTGAAGCTACAGCAAAGCCCATTTCAATGAAAAACAGATGCCCACTTGCCACAAGTTGTCCCACTCAGTACAAGTCTATTAATTATGCTCATTAATAAATCTGCCCATAGAGACTCTAGTGCCCTTCTGTTCCCATCCAGTGGATAAGCACAGACAATCCATCACTTATTCACAATCCATTCTTATTATAACTGTTCATAATCTTGAAAACATCTATCACAGCATCCATAAGTGATAGAGGAGCAAAAGGAATCCAGTAGTGTCATTTTTCAAAACACCAGAAATAGCAACATAAGTTAATAAGGCCATTTCTAGATGGATAGAACTAAAAAAAGCAGAGAAGACATGTTAAGCAAAGACAAAGTACTGCAGTTTCTAGTAATCAGGGGGAAAAAAAGACAAATTTTTGGAAACACATAGCAGATCAGATAGCATGTAGAAATTCACATTGCAGATTAATGAAAATTCATTGACTTAAAGCATTAAATTTGTCACTCCACAGATGCTGCCTAATCTGCTGAATATTTTGAGCAATTTCTGAAGTTTTACACTTGTGTACCATTTTGGTTGGAGCACACTCGGATTACAGTGGTTAGTTCTAAATGCCGTTTGCTTTGGATTTTGCTTTAGAAAAAGTGACGTTGATCTATAAGGCTGATATTGGAACTAAGAGGATAGTTTTACAGGACTGTTTGAACAGGCTTGGGCTTTTTTTCTCCAGAGAAGAGCAGGTTGGCTTGGTGGGGAGGAGTGACTAATAGATAATTTTAAAACAATGATGTTTGTTAAGATTGTCATAGAAAAGATATTTCTACTTTCAGAGCAGATGGAAGCTAGGTGCCGTAAATAGGCAACAATAAATCCAGAAACTCTTTACATAAGGAATAAAATGTGGCATTCACTGCCAAAGGCTGCAGCTGAGGCAAATATCATAATTATATTTATGGGAAAGTTAGATAAGCACATGACAGAGGAAGGAATAGGAGAATTTGCTGATAGGGTTAGATGAAGTAAGACGAGAGGAGATTCTTGAGGAACATAAGCATTGATTCAGACCAGACAAGCTAAACATGCTGCGTCTGTGCTGTACATTCTATGAAACTCAGTGAAGATATGATCCAAAATTGTTGAAAGAATTGTTTTCCTGAGGCTTTAACTTTTGTAATGCATGATATTCTGTGTCAGTAACTCTGGATGCCCATGAGCATGGATGGTCATTGAAGAAGTTTGCACTCAGTGCGAAAGGCAGAAAATTATATGTAAGACATTGTTGCAATATTTTTCAAAATGTGCCATCTCAAAAATCATAGAATCCTTACAGCGTGGAAGTAGGCCATTTGGTCCATCAAATCACACCAAACCCCTGAAGAGCATCTTGGCCAGATCCACTCCCTTGCCCTCTCCTTGTAACCTTGCATATCCAATGGCTAATCCACCTAGCCTGCAGATCCCTGGACACTATGGGCCATTTATCATGGCCAATTCACCTAACATACACATCTTTGAACTGTGGGAGGAAATTGGAGCACCCAGAGGAAACTCATGCAGAGATGGGGAGAATGCACAAACCCCACACAGACGGTCGCCCAAGGTGGGAATCAAACCCAGGTCCCTGGTGCTGTGAGGCAGCAGTGCTAACCACTGTAAACCAAATGCCAATTTAATGCAAGAGAAGTAACAACTGACATTATCTGTCCCCTGTTATGGCTTCTGTGCCATTGTTCTGAACAAAATATTGCACACAATATATTAACATAGAAAATTAGTCCTTGGATTACACAAAATTATGGGGAGAAGTTTTCATGCTCAATACAAATGCAAAAAAAACTGGTTGTTTGAAATTTGAATTAGTGTACTGTGCTGACTCAACATACATGTCAGTGAAATGGGCCTTAAACAACTACGATAAGCACTAATAGAATTTACAAAAACTTATGCAGACTGAATAGCATATAGTAATAAAATATTGGCTATTATTCTGAAAACAACCATAAAGGTTTTAAAAAGTTAATATGCAAGAAAAATGTAGA